ACACACACACACACACAGTATAATAAAATTTTCAATTCTAATTTGGAAGCAGAAAACAAAACATAGCATTTCTATATTTCTTAATTCTAAATTGTCTTGTATTCTCCAGCTATTAATTTTTTTTTTAATATTCATTTTAGAATGAGCTCCAAAGCCAATTCTCTTCCATCTAGGACAAGAAATCAACTATATAGTCCTACATCAAAAAACTAGAATTAAATGACAGGGCTACTCTGATGTGGGCAGGAATTATGGGGGAATTGCCAAGTGAAGAGACTGTGTTGATCAAAAGACCTAAAATAATGCAGATTTAACGTTTCTATTCTAGCAATAAGTTATCTGTCCAACAGTGAGAACATACTATCATCTTACAATAAAATGATGCACAATCAGAGACCAATACGATCAAGCCACATGCTACATGTATGACGCGAACTGCCTTATTTAAATCCCAACGGCTGACACAATAGCAAGCAGATTTACAGTGTATGACAGATGCAACATTACAGCAATCTGTTTGCACTGGAGGTCAGGTTTCCGTCAATATTTCATCAGCTTAATCTACGAATCAAATAAATTCAATGTATATTTGCAAAATATTGGCTCTGCATTACCCTGTAAGGCAGAAATCTATTCGATAATACTCAGGATGCACTCTGCTTCTGTTGACGTGAGAAGATAAATAGTCTTGATTTAATTAGACAAGATAGCTATACATTTATATCAGTGAATTATAATAGGTTATTATTCCAACATTAGCAGAGGCGGAAAGGATGGAAAGAATGTGCCTCATAGAATTTTGCTACTGCTACAGCAGTTACATATTCTACAAAAATCAATGTGCTATTAGTTAATGAACAAAACAGGAAGCAATTTCTCACCTCTTACTACATTATTTTTGTTTCAGTTACTAGTCTGTATAAATCAAAAGCATTGGCCAAATCAATAATTTGAACAAAAACTAGAGATATTGGGAAAGTTTACACAAATAGTACTTCTTAAGTGATAAAAATTGATTATAATGTTCTTCAAAAATAATTGCTTACTGGGTAACTGCCTTCCCCTTGAATCATCATAGCAACATAGCTTTACTAATCTATTAAATCCCCAAGAATCTGGATCTTGCTGCCAAAGTTAAATTTGTGAATGAAGTAGTGCAAAAATGCAGATTCCTACACAAATGATAAGTATAAAACTTCATAGTCAGGAAGTCTTTCAAGTTTTGTTCTCATAATAACCAAAATGTATTACTGTGCAAAGGATCTTATTGATCATTTAACATTGTATACTGTACTAATGTACTAGTAAGGGAACCTGTTAATCATAAAAAGTAGACCTGTTTTTGTGCGCTGTAAATTAATATAGCAAGCCAAGGCTGATACTGTGTTAGAGTATGCAAAGCTGAACTGCAAAATGTCACAATCACTCCATAGCCAACACAAGTCAGCAAGTTGTGTTAGTTGACTCTGGATAAGATCGCAATGGGATTAATATATATATATATATATATAAGTTAGTAACTCCAACATCATCTGACAGAGATTTTTATTCTAATGAACAGGTGTAATGTGTTTCTGGAGTCATTTTCCTGTGCTCATTCTGGCAAATGTTTTTGTTTTTAGATTAAACACAATATGGAGTCAAAACAATTATTATTTCTGTCAAGGAGGTTGTTTTTTGTTGTTTGTCTGTTAGTTAACAGCCTATAACTTAAAGAGCCCATGGACAGATTTTGATAAAATTTCTAGAATAGGTCAGAAATGGACTCACTTAAAATTAATTACATTTTGGTGGCAATCCATTAATTAATCAATTAACACTAATGAGAAATAAGCAGTCTTGGTGGAGGACTGCACTCTGAATGCTTTTAAACATGGTTCTGTGATGTTACATGACATTTTAAACACATACATCTTCTTGGATAAACTAGTATTTAAAAATATTTTAGTTTGAAATTCATATAGATCTGCAAACAAGAGCAAACAAGAGGCCATTTATAAATAAGCTTGGCTTAAATATTTGGGGCATCTGAACAATGCCAGCTTTGCATGGTGGTCAGCTATCATATTTTGTGTCCACTTTGCCTGACAAACAACAATTATGGAAATGGAACCACCATAATAATAGTACGTCCAAACCGGTGACTGGTTCATTATTGCAATTCAGTTCACATCTAGAGCAAAATAAGCCCTTGACATGACCAAAATGTGTCATAATCCTGAGCCTGGTTGGTTTATAAAAAGTCTACTGTTTAACTTTAAGGACTTTAATGTTAATCCTTGGACAAAGTGAACTGATTTTTAAAAAATATAACGTATAAGTTGTGGCAGTTCAACCAGGACAACCATTACTTCTCAAAGCCACCACTTGGCAAAACGGGGAATTAGCTGTGACATAGGCTTAATTAATCTTTGCATTCGAAAAAGAGATTAAGCCAACAAATCTCTGTCTGTCCTGCAGGTGTCCACCAGTGTCCAGATATACTATCCACAGATGATGACTGACATTAAGTACTAGCACAGTAAAATAACTGTCACCAGAACAGTACAATTGTGTATATTAAGCTACAGTGAGCTTGACTGTATTGAACCCATTATGCATGAAACTTTACAAAAATGAATATCAGTAAATCTTGTTTAGTACTTAAAATATTATGACAAACTGGACATCTTTTAGTTTAAGACTCTGTGAAAACATTTTGGCACACTTTCCAAATTGCATGATTTATTCCATATTATAATTTTCAGTAAAAATAAATGAATTGTAAATAATATTTTCTGTTTTATATGGTTTATGCAAGCAAAGCACTAAGTTACTGCCTCAGAAAATGGCTTTTTGGATAGGATTTATTTATTTATTTATTTACTGATCTCAACTTGAGAGCAGCAGAGTACCCAACTTATTTCAAAACCTTATCATGACTATACTATGTATAGTAAATAACTATTCCATTGAAGCCTGAATGAAGAATCCACTCTAAAGAGGCCATAGCTTCAATAGTAAAATTAATCCAAGTGACCTGGGATGAATAAGGTGTATTGACTATCTTGGGATGTCAAGTATGTGATGCTCAGGCTAGCTGTGGTGATTCATTCCATTCATCATACAAAACATGACTGATTCTGCAGTGTACAGTACAAGGACCTTCATTTACATTTAGTTGTGGTTATGACATTGAATTTCATTTCATTGTACTTAGTTGACATTATTTAAAATTAAGAGTCATGGTGATTGAGTTAGGAACTTTGGAATGGCAATTATTTTATTTTAAAAAATATACAAATAATCTACAAATCCATAACAGATAACTCTTTTCACAGATGGTACATTTCTGTTACTAGTATAGATTTGGCAAAAAAATAATCAGGGACTGGTTGACTGATTTTCATACAACTACCTCAGTAGTACAACTAAAAGAAAAGCAAGTTATTAGTTCAAAATATTGGAAAATACCAAATTACATTGATTTATTAACACATGGTAATTACTTAAATCGTACGCACAAACTTCTTTTTTTTAATATCTCACTTCTTCAAGTTTTTATCTTTGATTTTTATTTGATGACACCCCAAAAAGTACTTTCCAACATTAACTCAATTTTTTTAACTTATAAACTATTACTAGCAAAACTTTTTTCTTGTGTGTGTGTGTGTTTGGGGGGGGGGGGGGGGGGAATTCGTTTAATTCCTGTTGTTTGCCTTAAATGAATAATCACGATACAAATGCACATACAGGTTCCCTCTGACATGCAGGATCTGATAAAAATCTTAACAACTGATACCCAGGTGAAATGAATGAAAACATTTATAAATAGTGCCCTAAGTTATCTTATCATACAAGATGCAATATATAGAATGAGAATGATAAAAATGTGGATCCATGATAAATTCACTATGGCAATCAACACAGTAATTATACTAACTGTTCAAATACAAAAAAAAAAGACAATGACCAATAAAGGTATCATGGGATATATAATATATACTGAATTATACATAAATATATTTATTTAATTTAAATTAAAATGTTTACATACTGGTATTTGAATCTAGACAGCATATAAGCATTGTGCACTACAGTCTGTTTTTGTCTCCTCAGTACAGAAATGATCCAATATCCCTGATCTACCTCAGTACATGGTTCAACTAAAGATCACTGCAACTTGTGTGAACTCATCAAGTCCATGTATGTTTCATTTTTACAATCTCATTTGAGTCACCCCCTCCCGGCCCGCCCCCAAAATACTCACAAACGTCAAACTCCTCTTATTTAAGCACACACGTATATTTTATCTTGAACAAACACTATAATGTTGCAGTGATAAACCGCTATGGGGACATACACACCTTCATGTATTTGGCTGGAATGTACCCGATCTTGTTGCCCTTCAAGGCCCGAGCCCCCCACCACTCCTTCTGGGTATGGTTCGGCTCCAAAACCTCAAACTTGTCTCCCTTTTTAAATGGTAGAAAGCTATGGCTGGAGCTCCCTTTGGGCGGTTTAAAGTCACATATTGCCTTGAATACTTCCATTGTAGTGCATTTATCTTCCTAGTGGCATCCCACGGTGAGATTACATGCTAGTGACGATGTAAACAAATTCAGCGGTGCTTAGCATGTCATTTGCTTCCTGCTAGGGCACGCGAGCGAGATCTCGCGGGAAAGGAAGCGCTGGTCGGTTGCGGTGGCAAAAAAAGCAGGAATTCACACGCAAAAAGCAATAACCTTTATTCGTCTACTATTAGTTTAATACGCAAAACAATACTTGAAATTGCAGATATACTTTCGTTATGATATAACACAGAAAACTACTCTTATTTAGTCGTAGTCCGGCGACTGATAATTTGTTTGATCACGTGACCGTTTAGCTCCCTGCTGACCTAGTTTCTGATACCACAACACGGTGCATATGTGTTGACGACTATTGTAAATGGAGTAGATAGAATATTGATTTCTTCAGTTAAACTATCAATCATATTCGGCGAGTCGTGAGAAACATGAATCTATAATCAGACACCCGAGACCTGTTGCCGCCTGGCCTTAAAAAGCTAAGAACGAAACTTCTTCAGTTATCAGTGTCTAAGTGTTGCAGCCACAGAATCAATTAACAGTAGCAAGATGGACCAAAGAATGTTGTCTTGCTTAGTCTGACGGACTCCTAGACGGGAAATAAGAAAGCTGGTCCAACTGCCTGTAGTTCATCTTAACCATCTCTGCCTTGCTGTTGTAAGGTGAGTAAATTTGCAGGTCTATTTATAAAGTTAAATCTCCTTTCTGTTTGATACTGATAGCTATGAAATGAATTGTTATTTCAACATTGATTTTTAAGAAAGTTCCTCTACCATTAGAAAAGATTTATTAATTAACAAAGACATATATTTTCTGTGTGTGTGTGAGTGAGTGAGTGAAATCTTTTGCATAATATGTATACCGATTATCCACTTCATAAGATATACTCCACTTAATAGTGTATTTCATATTCAGGTTACACTGTGCAAAGTGATAAAAAAAATAGTTAAAAAAGGAGAGCATCCACAGACCCAGAGTCATGTTATTCAGCCATCAGTGCAGCAATGAGATAATGGTGCTCTGTGAGCAGTGAGGGATGGGGAATGGAGCCTCTGTCGATACTGAGAATAGCTCACCCATAAATAGAAATAGAAATACTAGCAGATCCCACGCTGATATGTCCCGGTCTCCCCGAGGACACCAGGTAAGTTGAACATGGACAGAAATCGAAATTATGTTATTTCACTCTGCCGGTCCAGATTGATTATTGATTATAGAATTAAAGAAAAGTGCTGCAGAGAGCATAAAACTATAGATGACTACTCAGTACCTTGCTTTGTTAATATCCTTATAATACATGTATGTGTTTTGAGTAAAGTTTTAAAAAATCAGTATTTTCATTATGTCATATGTTTAATGCCTGATTATTCTAAACTTTTTGGTGTATGTCTCAAATGAAACTTTCCTACTGTACTTACTTCCCTTTTTTTCTTTTTTTGAAACAAATTCTTCAGTAACTACATTTGATTTTGACAAGTGCTTTAAGTTTTAAAATAAAGTAATTAGTGGTTACTAAATGGTCAAGACTCAACATACCATAGCTAGTCACATATGCAGCACTTAATTAATAAGAAATAACTTTGTTTCTAAGAAGACAAGCTTTGTATACCACTAGTATGTACAGTATCTGTGCTATTATAACATTGCAGTATATGTCAGTATATTGGTTACTGTCACTGTATTAAAATATCATAGCAGCAGGGTATATATTTGCACACATTTCAATGATGCCTGGAAAAGAAAGTATTATTGTTATCATTTCAAATATTTATTGAAATACCAGTGCTGCACTTATTATTATTATTATTATTGTTGTTATTTTTATTATTGTTATTTTTTATAATTCTGTGGATGGGAATTATCATTTAACCTACAGTATATGATATTTATTTAATTGTTTCATAACCAATGACCCAAGTTTTACTTATTTTACATTGACAGTGATAAACACCTTTCTGTTTTTGTATTATTACTATTTTCATTTTATTATAATTATTATTATACTTATTCATTTATTTTTTATTAATAAATTATTCTAAAATTTTGAACAGGGCTTCCAAGAGCGTCAGCTTCAACAAGCTGACGATCATGTGACCTTGGGTTCTCCGCAGGCCAATCTTTGGAGCCAGGCAGCTGTGCGTGCGGCTGGGCGAGAGAACAACTATGACTTGCATGATGTTGTGAGGGCAGCCCAAAATCCTGAGCATTTTACCACTGTGAGTGGACAGAATGTCTAGGACTTATTCCTGTGATGACTGGACTTGGTCTAGCTATGGGGGAATGGGGGGAGGGAGCAATGAAAAAATTTTGACTAGCAAATAAAATAATAGAAGGTGACAATTTTACTGTAATATATAGGGAAAATGAAGGAAAAAATTGCTTAGTTATATATCTTATTCACTTGTTGTCATTTTTTCTATTTTTTTATTTATTATATTTTGGGGAGGGGGGACCTCCAAGGCCAAGGGACTACATGTACGCCCTTTCTGGATTTGCTTTAGTTGAGCAATCGTTTCCTCAGAAAAAAAAATACCTTCACTTCAGTTTAAAGTTTAAAAAAAACATTTTCAATAAAATTTGAAAAAAAAAAAGATTTCCTGTTTAAATTTTAATGATATTTTAAATTTGATTTCAGAACAATGATGACCTAGTGTTTGAGACATTCCACCATGCCAGTGGCCAGGAGTTTCAGTGTCTGGTGCAGGGAGGATTAAGATTTTATCTGGATTCCTGGCAAACACAGGTAAGTATGTGTGAGAATATTTGTCTGTCTAGTAGTTTATAGATCTATAATAGACTCTGAAATAGCCAGCACCTTATAACTAAAATTATCTTGAATTTATTTTGTGGACCATTGTACTGTATCATTATTTTTTCATTATAGTGTAAACAGCACAAATGTTGCCTGTCTCAAATCATTGCATCACTCTAACAAATTTTTCTGGCCCAGAGTTCCAAAGTTGTCAAAAGCTCCATCTAATAGCTTACTCCCATATGCCTGCAGGTCTGTCCATCCATTACCCATTAATCTGTCCATGCACAGTATGTACTTCTAGAAATTACTGTAACATACTTCATATTATACTAGTAATTTTCTTTATATATTGCATATAAAAACAGATGTTGCTGGAGTAAAAATTGAGTTCTTCACAATTTTTTCTGTATAGATCTTTCTCGTCAAGCAAGGAGAAAACAGGTTCTAACCTGCACTTAAGCTTTTTGTCATTCCCTTTGTCTGTTGAGTTAACACAATGGAAAAAAAATCAATCCAAGAATTATTTACCCAATAAGTTGATCACCTCTATTTTTGTGACATTTCTTTTTCAACAGCACGGATGCATTGATCGGGAGTTTGAAAAATATGTTTTATTTTCACTGTAACCAGGCCTGGAGCTTGAGAGGGGGGAGTTCAAACAAACTTCTTTTTTTGCTAGGAAAAGGTCTGCTCTGGGTACAATTTGATCTAGGAACACCACAGTTTCTAATAAAAGGTCCACTTTTTCAAAAAAAAATACCCCCTCCCCTTTAATCGCTGGCTAAAGGGCTGTGAAACTCAGTCTAAGGTCTACAATTAGGAGAGTTCAGCTTGTATTACAAGTATATCCATCAATACTATGGCTACTGTTCAGCTAAGACCTGTCAAACAGTTTCATGGGTCCAAGTCAGTGTTGAGTAAATATTTTTCTAAAGATAGGCAAACTAAGTAATCAGAGACAGAGCTGATAATCATGCAGTAACACTACAGCTATTATGTGTGGTAAATAAATTGTATCGGAAAACAAGGGAAGGTCTGTTCTTCAAGTCATACTCCACAAACATATCATTACTATGTATTTCAAGATCAATGATTTTGAGAAGCTTACAAGAACATTTTGCTGACTTGAACCAAATTCTCCCCTCAGAACTTCAAAATTATTGTTTTCTGAAAATGGTTTATTATTTTTATTGAAAATTTAGGAGTAATTGTCATAATTTTAATCAAATTTATATATTTTATACCAGCTGCTGCACATAATTTTTGGTCTTACTGTTTTCTATTAAAAACTATATAAATGATAAATCCAAATCTCAAAATAATAACCATCATACACCTCAACTTAACATACTGTAATTTCTTTCTCTTTTGCCCTGAACAATAACAAACAGCAGTTTGGTGTACATGTACTATTATGCAATTTCATCATTATTATGAATTGATTGAAAAGAGTGGGCATATTCAGATCAATAGAAATATTGGGGGTGTGGGGTTTGAATTTGTTTTTAGACAAGTACCTAGTGCTCGATGTATTAGCATACATATTGATAATAAATTAAATATAGTAATTGATATATTGATTTAATTAATTTGAATACATAGATAAGACTTGAGTAAATAAGGTGCACGAAGGCCTTATAACAGGTCTTACACTTGAAAATTTTAGGATTAAAAAAAAAAAAAGAAAGAAGGAAGGAGGGAAAAGAAAAAAAACGAATAAAATTGTGTAGACAAATAATTCTTCATGATGAACAAGTGTTGTTATAGCATAGTAAACCAGTTGCTAATCTTTACCATCTAAATTATGAAATGACAAAAAATAACAAAAGCAATTCATATTTTGCTCTTAGCTAAATTGGTTTGGGCCTTGTAAATTTGTCGTTTTGGCTTTACGTTTCCATAGCCATCTTCAAAATATTTTTTTCATTTCCATAGACGGATTAAAAATATTTTCTGTGTTCCTTACAATTAATTAAAATGTTGCCTATAACACCAGACAAGCCTAGAAACAAATTGATTTTTATATCATCCTTTGTACCAGATATTGGTTTTCATTTTAAATACTCAGAAAAAATCTAAACTTCTAGTGGAGGATGCTCAAAGAAAAAAAAACTTGGTTGTTTCCTGCAAAACATTTGCATTGTATCATAGCAAACAAATGCCCAACTCTTTTAAGACCATGACTTTGATTGATTTTAATTGATCAGGTTGCTTGTATCTGGTGACCCCTGTGTCACTGGGTTTATTGATAGCGGATAAGTATACAGCTACAGTGGTGGGAGGTGACTTAACAATAGAATAGATTTGTTTTGACTTCCAAGGGCAATATATTGGGGTGTAGGGGTGCAAGTCATAAAAGAAACATTTTCAGCAGACTTTTCAGCTATATAGTGTCTCACTGTGCAGATATATTTTAAACCTACAGTCACTATATAGAGTCCACTGGGCAGACCGGAGGGTCTAATTAAGAACCTATTGGCCGAAAACTGGACCATTGGTCAGGAATTGGCCATGGTCAATGGCTTCAGTTGTACTTACATTCAGTCATTACTGTCATAATTTCAGACATATCCCTGTGCATCTTATGATCTCCCATGTGACTTTCAAACTCCAAAATAGCATTTATTTATATTTATATGTATTTTTAAAATCCTTCTGCCTTAACAGTTACAGGGATTGCCTATGTTTTCATTTTTAGTTTTAATTGTGAGGGCAGGCTGAGTTAGACTATAAAACAAATCATTTTTCAGGTGTTGTATACTGGAATCATGGTACTAGTTTAAGTCCTATATAGACCAAAGTTCTCTGTTCAATCAGTGGATACGAGATATACATAAAGCATGGCCTGTGAAGAAACTTGAATTGATTTTAGAGCCATAATCAATACCACTTCATCGCAATAGCACACAATTTAAACATCTTGCCACCATTTTATGACAGCTACATATCTCAAGAATACATAATACGTATATATACATAGAGCCAGTATATATTATTTATATACATGTCCTTCCAATTCTTTCCAAGCATTTGATGGTATGCTAGTGGCTTAGTTGTAGTATCTGTACTCTTAGAGTCTACTCAGTTTGATAATACAATCATGTTTTCAGGTATTATTCTAAAATTACTGCAGGACAAAAATATGTACAATAGATTTTAGACCCCATTCCCATAGACACCATTGGACTATATGGATCGACCCAACTCTGCAGGGATTCTCACAAAGTGCAAGCAGAGGAATCAGCTTAATTGTCTGACAAGTCTCCTCATGAAACCAGTCTGCGCCAATCAAACTTGATAAATTTGAGCCAAATGCTTATCTTCCACTTATTTGGCTTATAAAAATGAAAAATACTTTTTTTTCACCAAACTTTCTCTGATTAAGCTCAAAACTTGGATTTGACCAAAATAATTTTATTATCTAATAAAAAAAAAGAATTATATCCTAAAGAGGGTCCGTCCACTCCAATACATTTAAGAGATATAGAAGCTTGTCCCATATTTGTATCAGAAACCTCCTCAGACTCTTTCTCTGAAACAGCTGTCACTTTAATACATTGCTAACTGATTTGCCAACTGTATGCAATAAATAGGAGCGTAATTATCAAAGCATAGCCAAGGCAATAGCACACCTATGTATCACATACAAAACGGGTGATGAATCCTTGTAGCAGATCGATTCCATGACTGGCACTGTAATAAACAATAGGATTCTTGCACTTGAATTTGGTATTACAAGAGGACAAAGAAAAGCATGGAACACACAGACATGTAATTTAATACAGGCAAGCAAACACAAGATACCCAGAAAAATAAGTACTTCATGAATTGATGAACTGATTATCTAACACATTTCTTATTATTATACCAGTACAGGATATGCTGTGGTGCCTTCAGGAAGTGTTATATCTTCAGTTATTGGTTTTATACAACAAATATCTATCCTTGTCAAGAAATGAAACTTTCTATACCTCATAATATTTGTATTGGATGTACATACATTTGTCGTGGGTGAAGGAAATTATCAATGGAGAGCTCATTTATACAAAGTTGGGCTAGAAATGGTATTTGTAATAACATCTATTGACACCGCTGTAATGACAAAATCTGAATAGATATCATTAGATGTTATTATATATTATGAATATACTGGGCAGGTGAGCGGATAAGATGTTCAATTGTACACTTTCCCGTCCAATTCTGTCAAATGTATGTAAGAAATTTATTATAAAAATAATAAAAATCACATGTAATTCTTTTTTTTTTTCAGCAATGGCAGCCGTTTCCAGTACAGTGGTACAATGAAGGACACATAACTGTGGAAAATGTCATTCAAGGAGAAACAGTGAGTTTTGAAAATGGAAAACATGCACATTTTATCTCTTTAACGATAAAAGCCATCTCCCAAATATACATGTAGGTTATTGTTTCTATTACTGATACAGGATAATGTCAGCTATAAATCAATTTGATGATTTTTTTTTCAAGAAAGCAGTTTAAGTTCACTATTATTTGTCATTTACAGTAAATAATCTGACTGACCAAGTTTTTTGTAATTTCAGGACTCTAGCTCTCAGGCAGCATCTGCATCTGCAACCCCGCCTCTCTCCCACAACACCGCCACCAGTGGCAATGGTGCTGCCCATGGTGGTGCTGCCAGTGAGGCCAGACCCAGCAGAAGGGAAAGGCCCAGAGATGACCGCGAAGGCCATCTTGACCATCCTTTAAAGGGAAGAGTAGCCACGTATCTCTTTGAGGTAATAAAATAGGATGTTATCAATGTGAACCTGTTTTTCGAGTCTGGTTTTGTATTTATAATAAAAAAATAATATTTAACAGTTAGAATAATAAAAATTAATAGTTCTTTAAGGCAGCATTCCTTATTCAGCAATACAAAGATAAAAACTTTTTTTTTATTCAAAAACATACCAACTGAAAATATTCTGGTTCGCTGGTGCAACCCTGAGTTTAGCAGATAATACAGAAAGCTAACCTGTACATGTTGATAACAGAAGTTAATCTCCAGTTACCTATGACATGCAGGGTGACTGTTGCCTGAAAGGTGTTTATAGTCTCTATTGGAATGTTAATAATAAATTAAGCCCATGTTATGTTTTTAATTTTTTCACATGAAACAGAATTTTGACAGCACATCTGATTTATTTACTGTGTAATTAGCAAACTTATTCTTTCCTAATTAATGCTAAGATATTGTAGCATTACTTAAGAAATCTGGTCCAAGATTTGGACTATACTTTACATAGTGATTCACTAAAGGGTGACATATTAAGACAAATCGTTTTTTTTTCCAGGAACGTGTCAATGTCCACTGTTACTTTGACAATGACACTGGTCAGTGGATCAAACTGCCCATTGGATATGAAATCCACTCTGATGTTATCAAAGACTTCATGGATATCATTCAGGTATATTTTTTATTTTAGTACTGGTAGAACTAGTGTATTTGTAATGGTAATGTTTTATCCCCTTATTGCCAAGTTCTGGTGCATATATGCATGGTTTTCTCAGAGGTAAATAAAAAAAAATTAATGGAATGGTAAATGTTCACCACAAAGATGAATATTTTTTGGGGGAGGGGGGTTGTCATATTTAAGTTAAAAAAACTATTGTTTACTGTTGATTGATAGCATTAAGAACAATATGATCGGATTTTCTCTTTGTGTCCTTTTGATTTTGCACTATTTGATCTTAGTTCATCTCTTCCGAATTTGTTGGAGAATATTTGACATGGTCCAAAGAAAGTTTAAGATCAGTAAATGCATGGTAATGTTTATTTAAAATAAGACATATCCTTATTTATTATCTTTTAATGACAGTCTGTTAATGTTAAAGCCTACAGTATATTTGACGTGTCATAACAAACTGTGACATTTTATATGACAGGAGACAATCCCAGACTGGACAAATAGTCATGACATCTTAGCGTCACTTAGAGCATCAAACTATGACCCACACGAGTGTATATCGACATACTTCAATATTGGAGATCCAGGTGAGGCAGCCGTCTTGTTTTCAAACATATATGAGTGAAACCTTTTATTGCTTTCAAAATAATGATATTGTAGAAATCACTTATGATGCACTGTTTGAAGATTGAGATTTCATTTTTTTTTAAAGTTGGTTAAGGCTCAGTAGCTTGCCATCTTGATTTTGTTCTTAAATCAATGTGATGATTGGCTTAAAGTTTGTTTCTCTTGCATTTTTCAACCATATTGCATTTAAAAAGTTTTCATGTTATTATTTTCAGTGACAGACCCATGGCTGAAGGGTAAGCTTTTTGTGTACACATAATGCAAAAAGTTGATATCACAAAGACTTAATTTACTTGTGCTTCCTTTAGTTAAATTTATTTATTATAGTAATGTTTTTTAGTTTATGCACATTTGTTAATAACAAAAACTATGACCCAAATTGTTTAAACTCAAAACTAAATGTAAATATAAAAATCATGTACCATTAAAGATATAGAACCGTGTGTGTGTGTGTGTGTGTGTGTGTGTGTGTGTGTGTGTGTGTGNGCTTCCTATAGTTAATTTTATTTATTATAGTAATGTTTTTTAGTTCATGCACATTTGTTAATAACAAAAACTATCACCTAAATTGTTTAAACTCAAAAATAAATTTAGATATAAAAATCATGTACCATTAAAAATATAGAGAATGGTGTGCATGTGTGTGTGTGTGTGTTTGTGTGTGTGTGTGTTGCAATACTTATTACTGAGATTTTCCCATTGAACTAAGCTCTTTGATGTTGCCAAAATTTTCAGGAATTGTACGGACAAAGAACAATGCAGCTGATGTAAACTTGATGGAACAAAAGGACAAAGAAATAGAAAAATTGAAGAAAACTATCAAGAGCTTGGTAAAAATAATATCAGTGCATGTACATGTAGTGGTCTATCTTGGATTTATATCACTCTCTATTACCTGGACAATATGTTTCTTTGTATCAATGCATCAATCACTATACTCAGCACACAAAGATTGTACACTCAAGGAGGCTACATGTAATTGACTCTTTATATGCAGTCGCCACCATTTTAAAAACAAATTTAAGGTAAACCATTGAGTTATGCTCCAGAATTCCCAGTTATACCTTTTATAACATGATGGCAATGAAAGTGACTTACAGTGATGTTATTTTTTTTTTTATATATATAAATCTTCTTAAAATAACTTGATTCTTCTTACAGGAACAGCAACTTGCAAACAGCAAGGAAGATCTCAAGAAAAGCAATCAAAAGGTAACTGCCAGTATATTTAATTTGTGAATTTTCAGGTCAGAACTCATAATAAAGGACATTTTCATATTAAAAATAAAACAATATCTTGTTGTTCTACTGACTACAAATATTATACAACTTTTACAATTTCCATATTGACATATATTACAGTAATTAGTTATTTCTGTATTAGTAACACTGCTTGTGTTTCTTGCAGGTTGTATCATTAGAAGACAGAGTGTCGACACTCGAGGCAGAGAACAAGAGCACCAATGTGCGTCTCACAGCACTGCAAGAAGCCAGACCCAAGACAGCAAAGGTTAGGAGGAATTTCAGTTGATAACTTTCTTCAGGAATTAGTTTGGTTTACTAAGGAGCAAAAAAAGGTCCATATTTTCAAAAATTAGAAATTTCCGTCTGACATTGATATGTATGGTAATGACTCAGTCTTATCAATGGGGAAAAATTATACATTTTTCAGCTATATGATTTCTTAACTTAAAAAACATTATATCTGTGCAGCATTTGTGGTACTTTTTCTGTATAGAATAGAACTATTACATGTAGGTAGCCTGCTTTTCAGTGTTGTTGCTACCACTCAGACATTTTTCAGATATACAAAATTATAAAAACATAAAAAAATATAAATCTTTGTAGGATCTTGGTACTTTTCCTGTCAAATGCAGAACTATTAGGTAGCCTGCTTTTCCATTTCATTTCTACCACTCAATAGGAAGGTTCTAATTTTAAGAATCAATGTTTAAAGAATTTAAAATTCACAATTTTCCCCATTCAAAAAAATCAAGTAATTACCATGTTGTTTGTCCATTGACATACCAGGTCGTAACTGTGGAGAAGAGTTCTGTTGATCCTAAGACAGCCAGGGCACTGAGCGAGTCAGCCAAAAACTTGCACAAGTCCCACATTCAGCTCAAGATGGCAGTCAAGAAGCATGTGGGGGAGATATCAGACCTCATGAAGAAGGTGAGACTTGAACTGTAAAGACCCTATAAGGATAAGTTTTTAATTTGTGGTCATTTTAAATTTGATATTTATGCAACTAGATTTTTGTTTCCACTGCAGGGGAGCATGAAGATATGGCAATATAATTTTTCACTCACTGCTGTCACATCTGTGGCCATGTGTGTTTTCATCTTCAGAGTAAATTACATTCTCACAATTGAATGTGTAGATTGAGTCCTGCTGGGCTTCTGACAGACAGCTAGCCTATTACCTCTACTACTAGTACTTGTACAACTCAGAATTATTAGTGATTTATAGCCAATAACTCCTTACATTGGTTACAACAAACAAATCAAAATGAAAGTTTTGTATAGCATGTCACTTGGTCATTAAAATAATCATAATTGTCCTTTAAATTTTATCTTTTGAAATCTGCAGCTCTTTATAACAGTAAATGTAATAACTACAGTTAATATTCAGTTATAGAAATGACATTATATGATAATGTCCAGTTATAATGATCATAACATATGTGTTCAATTTGATAATTCATCTCGGTATTTCAGGCCATCAATGGGATGCGTGACATCAGGAGCTGTGACAGTGGACAATCCAGAGAAATCGAAGATCTCAGGGAACTTTACAGAAAGGAAGCTCTGGAAAGAAAGTTGCTGTATAACAAGGTGAATGTTGTACAAGCTTGGTTTGATGTGCAACTAGATGTACAGCGATAACTTGAGGCTCACTTAAAGAGACACACACTGAGTATCGAACATTTATTCCGCAAAAACAATTAATTTCCTGGATATTTCATTGGTTTGACCCAAGTCATCAGAATGCCCCGTATGCAAGACCATTGACAAAATTATTATCAGTTTACCTGATTTTGAGTTCTAGTTTGTGATGTTTTAGTTTATCTCGTAATGGAGAATGATACTTATAATTTCACATATAACTCCAATAATAACAATTTTAAAATGCAAAACAAGATTATTATAAAACCAGTTGTAATTTTCTTAAAACCCTTACTCGACATTTTTCAGTTACAAGAATTGAGGGGCAACATTCGCGTCTTTGCCAGATGTCGCTATGACGACAGAGTGCAGTGCTCCTTAGAGTTTCCATCAGATTCGGACATTGCAACATTCAACCCTGCCACACAGCAGAAGAAGATATTCAGCTTTGACAAGGTGTACTCCCCCAGCTCCAAGCAAACTGAGGTATGTTCTCACTCAGTTCAGCAGACATATTGAAAACTTTTTTAACAGCTGGGCATTTGTACCAGCAGTTATGAAAAAAAAATTGAAGGAGCTAAGTAAATACATGAAAAAGGACCCTTTTCCATCACAATATCTAAAACTGGAGCAGTCCAGGATACTTTGTCACCTGATGTGAAAATGATATAAAATATATAAATTAAACGTACTGCAACAAATAATATGACAAAACTGTGTTTCAGGTGTTTGAAGACACGCTGCCAATCATCCACTCCTGCGTTGATGGGTACAATGTGTGCATTTTGGCGTATGGACAAACGGGGTCGGGAAAGACCCACACCATGATGGGACCCGAGCACGACCCGGGAGTCAATATCAGGTCTTTATTGCCTTGTAGAATGTCTATGAAGTTTGTACTAAAAAGTTATAAGTATTTTGTATTTTAATGTGCAAAGGATTAGATTATTATAAATCATCAGTTTGGCTGGTTATCATGGGATTTTGAATTGTATTTTAAGTATTTTAATGAAAGTATTCTTCTGATTAATATTTCTTTTTCCAATGTTTTCAGATCGATAAAGGCTTTGCTAGAGATTTGTAAAGAAAGGAGTGACAAAGCTGACTATACTTTAAAGGTCTTTATTCAACATTTATAACATCAGCTGACAGTTACAAATATCTAATAGAAATTTCAAGGAAATTTTACTTTTTAATAATGAAAAAAAAATTCATCATATTACATAGAATGACACCCTCATACTTCTGCATTTTGTAATAAGAATTTAACATAGTCTTATTGAATTGATGTTTGTTTCTTTTAAAATAGATAGAGACAATTTTTTTCTAACCAATTCAAGCATTTTTTTCTCTTTGAATAAATATAAACAACTTTTACTGATGTTTTCAAGATTTTGTCTCTTTTTCAAATAAAATTCAGGTATCACTCCTAGAAATCTACAATGAGAATGTCCAGGACTTGCTGTCCAGTGATGTGAAGACACTACCTGTCCAGAGCAAAGGGAACAAAGTGGTCATCCCTGGGCTGACTGAGGTCGAGGTGACCTCGATGGCGGACATCCAGCGCGTTATGGAACTGGGAAATAAGAACCGAACTACAGCTGCTACTAAGATGAACTCTCAGAGGTGTGAAGTTAGCAAATAACAGAATTTATAATTTATTTTCATTAGGATAAGAACTGACATGGTATTCTTTTTTCTTCTTTAAATGTATTGTGGAGATGTCTCAAAGTATATCTGACCCTTATGCATTCTAATTCATTTTCTTGTGTTGTAGTTTAAATAAGAAATAATACTTGACTTTTTTTCTATGGGGTGCTGATTTAATAGTGGGCTATTCAATGCTGATATAGCACTAAAGATAGTAGAAAACTTTCTTTAAACACATTGTCAAGCAATAGTGACAGTTCGCCATAACATACTGTATGCATGTGCTTTGGTCAGCTGCACAACAAAAATTTCAGATAGACACATCATACTAGCTAGATGGATTCAACTCTGCTGGGTATTCTCACTTAAAACACTAATGACAGACACAACATTTCTTCTCCAGCTCTCGGTCTCACCTAATTCTAAAGCTGTCAGTGGAAGGGTTGAACCGCAAAGCTGGTACCCACTCCAGCGGAAGTCTGATGTTGTGTGATCTCGCTGGCTCAGAAAGAGTCGGGAAGACAGAGGCTCAGGGACAGCGCCTGGTGGAAGCAGCTGCCATTAATAAGTCTCTTACTGCACTTGGACAGGTGGGCATTTATTTATTTATTTATTTATTTATTTATTTATTTTGCAAGGCATCCTCCCCCTGACTTACAGGCCTGCAGAGATGATAATTTAACATCAATGTTCTAAACATCTAGATAATCAAATGTATGATGCTTAAGTTTGTTGTAGTGATGAAAATATTTCACATATAGTAATTTTAAATTAAATTAAGATTATAATAATTTAATTAAATTTACAACAGCAAAAACTAAGAGTAAGGACAAACGAGTTTGTAAATTAAGTAAACTAAAATTAAGATATGTCATAGTTTCTATACATAATTCAAAATAAGAATGAAAATTGCCTTCAAGTACAGGTAATTAACGAAAACCCATATGATTATGGCGGGTTTTTGATCAAAACATTACAACAATTTTATATCCATTATGAATTATTCTCATTCCAGGTGTTCAGTGCCCTGCGTGCCAGCCAGCTGCATATACCATACAGGAATTCCAAGCTGACACACATCCTTCAGCCAGCTCTTGGGGGCGATGCCAAGGCCTGTCTCTTTGTGGCCGTCAGCCCCGATGTTCGGAATATTACTGAAACAATAAGCACTTTGACGTTTGGCTCCAATGCAAGGCAGATAGCTCTGGGTCAAGCCAAGGCTAATGTGTCCAAGAGAATGCCAAAGGATGATGATGATGACTAGTGATAGAAGAGATTAAAAGGAACTAGAAAAAAATTTAGAGAGAGTAGACTTCTGCCTAGACAGCTCAATTCTCATTATTACTTATAATAATAATAATTACAGGATCGCCGTCAAAATCTAGTCGATTCTAAGCGAGCCCGTTTCTGGCCTATCCTGAAAAATTCTATCAAAATCTGTCCATTTTTTTTTGAGTAAGAATGTTAATTACAAACCAACAAAGGTTCAACTTACTCCTTAATAGAGTTAAGAAGTGTATAATGCAGACACAGTTGATGAGGAACCAAGTATTATTCGGACTTACTTTACTTAAGGTCTAATTTTCTAAAACTTTTTGAACAGTTTGAGGTTTTGGGCATTTACATATGTCCCTATATGTTCTCCCCAGAGTTGTTTGTGACAGCCTTGGTTTTTCAAGGAAATTATTTTCTTATAAATGAATAAATGATATGCTGCATTCTCTTAGTGTTTTGTTCTACTAGCAGGAACGCATGTATACTTCTGAAAGAGGTCAAAAGAATGGGGTTTTGAAAGGAAAAGAAATTATATAAAATTTGAATAAATTACTATGCATGATGTAAGGTAGATGTTTTATTTTCACATCCAGTGCTCTAATGCAGCTGCTTCTCTTACGGAAATTTTGACTGACCATCTATCTCATACATGTATGTACGTCATCTGAGTTTCACTTTACAATACAGTATTCTGTTTATATCATTATTCAGACTCCTGTTTAAGGGAGGGTGGTGGAGATAGCTGCTAATGCATCATTCAATAAGCAATTAGTATTGCAAAACAAATTCTTATAATGTCCTGAACGGGTAGAGATTTTGATAGGTGTACCATAGGTATGATGTTTTTACACTATTTTTCGTTGTATTTCGGGTATTTTCCTTTTCCTCTGGAGTCTAACTTATGGTTTCTTTTAATTAGTTATTGGTAAAATTGGCATAAATAAAACCATTACAACAGACCAATAATTCATAAAGTCGCCGTTCAACTTTTAGAAGTTCACGCTGAGCATAAGAACGTTGACTTTTTGCTAGGATAGAAGATAAGTTTCAATATTTAGGTCCTAGCTTTTTGACAGGCCCCTGAACTTTATAGTTCAACCGTTTTCTGTTAAAATCGTTATATGAACGACCCGTCGCGCTGAAATATCTGCGTTAGCGGGAAAGGCGGGATATTTGTATCTAAATCAAATAATTTAATCAATAAATTGCACAACGGTGCTACATATGAAAAAATATGCCAATCATATAGGTAACTGTAAAAGACCTGCGGCCATGACGCATTTAGGAATTTCTCTAAATCTACAGAATATTTTTGCTTGGTGAACATTACGATTACAATATTTTCTGTGGCTGAAACAGCGACGTATTGATTCTCACTATTGGCAGCCTCTTGCTTTCGGCATTGTGGAAGCCTGAAGGTTATTCAAAGTGTGCAAAGGAGTAGAAGGAAGCACACCGCCCGCGGGGACGGACCGGCTGACGGACGAATGGATCCTCGGATGATTTCCGAATTTTGGTTCGGGGTTTTTGACGTGCAAGTACAATGAAGCTCATCCTAGGTGAGAGGTTATGAAAATTGTGTCACTGCATTTTTGTGTTATAGTTGGACGAATAACAAGTTATCTGTTTTAGGGCAATTTTACTCCGTCCCGAATGGCAATGTTTTCTGTGTGCTTTCACCAAATCTGGCCGCGTATGTAAACTTAGAAATATGGATTAGGAAACTATGTAAACCATGCTTTTTTAAGTGAGCCAGTGTCTCGAAATACCCCCCAAAAATTGATAGTGCTCATAATTGATCGCGACCCATTTCAGACTTGTATTGGCCCCAGTAGGCCTACTTTACGAAGTATGCTACGTTTATCCAAGAACTGAGGAAATAGGAAAATGGTAGAAGCCTAGAAAAAAACATATATATGCTTTTTTATAGACCGGACGGCTTAGCCGAGAGTTTGCACTTTTAGACAGGGCTGTGCGTGTTATTTTCACACATACCTATATACATGTACACCTTATCGTTATCGATCCCCTTGTAACTGGCGATCGCATTGATTAGGTATTGTTGATTAGCAGAGCGTATTGATTGCGAGTTTTGTAGTGTAACGGTGTAGTGACTTGCTTTTACCAGCCGAGTTAAAGGTGGGGCTTTAACAATGGAAAACTTGCAGCCCGAAAGTAACACTAATAGTGTACGTCTTTGTCTTGTTCTTTTGGACGTCCATTGTTTGTGGGGAAGCGCTAGAAAGCGAGTTATGCAAAGTAAAGATTTAAGTAAAGAAACATTTTAATGTCTTTGTTATCGTTTTGCTTACTAAATAAATATCACGTTGGCAAACTTCTACGATGAAAATAAAAAACGACAACAACCAAAGCGACGTTTTTGCAACACCCGGTCTATGTACTAAAATGCTAATACGAACGTCCATTATTTTTTCAAAATGATTCATATGGATGTAAGATAAATGAAATATATGACGCAAGAAACTAATATTTCAATATCTGCAAATTACAAAATTGTCATACATTTTAAAAGATAAGCTAGGGTAAATATTGAGGTGTTATTTATTCAGTGGGCCTGGACGGAGCAGGAAAGACGGCCATCTTGTACACCTTGAAGTGGAATTTTCCTCTCACCACTGGACTTACATCCACGCTAGGTAAGCAATGTTTATCTGTTATTTGCGTTCATTATACTTTTGATAATTTTATTAATTTTGCCTATTTTATCCACTGGAATGGTTGTATAAAAATTTTATGTAAAAACAAGTAAAAAGCAAAATACATGCGTTACCAATGGCAAAGTAGGTGCATTGCGCTTTTATTCCGTAGGATATAATGTCGAAGAAGTCTCATTCAACGGCATAGCCTTTGAAATGTGGGATCTCGGCGGCGAACACCAAACAAGAGCAATATGGAGGCAATACTTTAAGGATACGCAGGTAGGAGAGAGAGAGAGAGAGAGAGAGAGAGAGAGAGAAGGGATGGGTTGGAGAGAGAATGTATGTTTGATAGAAACAGGGCAAGTGTGGGAGAGTGATTAACGGGTGGTCTTTTTTTAAAACGGATAAAATTAATTTTAATACAGTAAAAGTGGACGTCTCCCTTTTTTTACAAAGATGCTTGCTGGTATTCGTTTTCCAATCTCGATATTTGCTTGCTTATAGATAAGGGGATATATGTGGAAAATTAACTAGACAGCAAAGCTGGGAAATTTACAAACACGTAACTGCATATGTGGAAAATAAAAAATGGACAAACTGACCCACGTCGGCTTTAATCCTCAGGCTAGGCTTTTTACGCATTAACAGAAATCGCCAAAATGGCAAAATTGATGAATTTAATTATTCATGCATATTTTTTATTTCAGGGAATAATCTTCGTGGTCGATTCTAGCTGCAGAGAACGTTTCAGTGAAGCAAAGGAAGAGATAGAACGACTGGTAGCAAACAAACACAGTTTAGCAATGGAAACAATTAGAAATATATTTACTTAAAATTCTACACGCAGTACCGTACATCAGGTTTACTCTTAGCAGCTTTTCGTTCTGTTTTACACCTAGGGCAAATAGACTATGCAATAAAAAAACTCACAATATTTTATCATGATTTTGTTCACTCCAGATGAAGTACGAAGCTCTTCAGGCCCTGCCCTTGTGTACAATGGCACACAAACAGGACCTCCCCGGGGCTCTATCCCCTGAGGAAGTGACGCAGCTACTCTCTCTCACAGACATCAGGGATAGGAAGGTAAAACTGCCTGCAAACAGCCATTGTACACTTTAGCGAGAATTCCCTGCAGAGTTGGGCCGACCCAGTAAGATGCGCGAATCTGAATGAGGTCTAATATAGGCAAGCGTTATAGTGTGGGTTTGGGGGCAATGGGCGAAAACATGTGGGCGTAAACAGAAACAGAAAAGACTTCTGCAGAAAAACTTGTGTCCGCCAAGCACAGGTCAATATTTCAAGTTTTTTCCTCTCTTCTTTCAGTGGACGGCCATTCCTTCAAGCGTAACGGCGTCAGGAAGCACCGGACTTCAAGAAGCTCTGCAATGGTTTTCTGCTCTGTCGTGACCTGCTGGTCGCACAACCTACTCATGAAAATGTCTGTACATGTAGCTTGACACTTACAAAGATCACATAAAATTTGAGTTTGTGTTGGTGGTTTATGTATAAACACGCATAAAATAAGCGTGCTTGTGAATGTACAGGGGGACTTTTCAGTGTTTAGCGTACAACGTAACGAGCATAAAAAAGTTTGCGTTTATGTATATGCCAGGTTGGTACGTAAAAACGGGAGTTTTTCTGTATCATGAGGGTAGTTTGCTTCCTCTAGCACGGCAAATTGAAAAAAATGCATCCTTCCTAGACTTAGCAGATGTATATTATATGTGCGACTTTAAAGAGTACAGTATGCCATTAATGAATACGTCCTGAATGACATTGTAAGCCTATCTAACTGCGGTAATATAATTTAAGTTTTTGATCTATTTTCTGAATGTTAAATGATTGTACTATTGCTTCCATAGTAGTTGGATTTGTTTTTATATGCAATGAGTCAAAGTTGAGATTTTACGTTCACCGCAAGCGCAATCGGAGTTTTGTCAAGAAGAATTTTTATTTGACTAAGTGTGTCTGTGATCCATTAAAACTAAACACAAAAATGCCGCCACCCAATGTCAGCATGGAATTATGTTGCAAGGCCAGGGTTCAGCAAAGCAGGTGATGGCTATATGGACAGAAACGATGTGTCTGTACATAAAAAATATAATATTGGAGGTAGAAAATAGAACCTAAGTTTCTAAATATGCCGCAAATTATTCAGATCTATTTATCTAGTGCAAAGCAAATATTGCTCTTGTTGCAGTATATGATGCAAATAAACGTGTTTATCGACAACCTGGTGTTTTAAATTGATAGTGTTATTATGTTTTTGACATTTTAAACTTTCAAATTACGTTAAATAGTGTATTTTAAATTAATATTACGTCTTATATCTTCAAATGATTCTCACAGCAAACGAGAAGGAAGCCGAGTTACCAGCCACGTGACAAGTCACGTTTAATTTACGCAAGAGTAAAGAAGGCAGGGAGATATGGCAAAGAAAATGGTGTAAAACTGTGAACGCAAATGGTGCAGGTTTTTGATAAAGTGGATCTACATAGCTATAAGAAGAAAAACAAATTACCATATGAATATTTCATCAAACGTATCTCTAGTTTCATCACATTCTACCCCCCTCACCTGCAATTTCCTTATCAAATCGTGCGTTTTGAGATTATGGCGCCTTCGTAAGTTGTGTAAATTTACGTATATTATACATGTATGAAGTTGTACTTCTTTTGTCATATCAAACCACATATCCACTTCGATAACTAAACATTGCTGTTCGGCGCTTTGTCCCATCCTCTCTAACTTTCATACCAATCGATAGTCCGAACAGAAAGTACTCCAGACTATTTTCTGTGTCTGTGGATTTCTGAAATAAGGATTGATAATCCTGCTAAATTATGAATAATGGCATTATCAAATACATCCGAATTAGAATAGCATAACGGCATTTTTAATCAAGCGTGGTGTTCAAATGACACTAACGAGCTTTAGTCTATTTGTGAGTGCGTTCGTAACCTGTAGTTTTTAAAAGGATTACTTTAATTTTTCATATGTTTTGAACGTTTGTGACACTGCGCGAGTTTCATGGACAAAAATATTCGTAAATATACTGACATCGTTTAAACAAAAGCAGATAAATGTATGAATGCCCAATATATGAAGGACGAAAGCTAACACTGCCAGAATTTTTCCTTGCAAGTATAAGCCAATAAATGAATTTAATATACGAAGAAGACGCGAGGCTTCTGACGACAGGTGCGTTATCAGCGCACAAGGTGAAAATCTAGGTAAAAGCCAAATAAAATGTTATCACTCTTTTCAATTGGTCAAAAATGACTTTTGGGCAAATGAACGATAATTTAAACCCGTTGTTTCACCTCAGTATCCCTTTAATGATATAGTAGATAAAAGGTAAAACAGATTAGAAAAACGAACTAGTTAGCTTTTTATTTTGTTACCCATTTTCCACTCGCTGCAACCAAATGCATTTTCCTTATCCTCTGAATTGCATTCTGATCATGTTAGATATATTGAAGATGGAAGTGATCGTTGCATTTAATTAGCGATCGCATCAGCGGGTGATAAACTCATATATACAAAGAAATCGTGAGATGAGTCTCAGCACAGAATCTGTATTTGAACCAAACTCATTCATAGACACCTCCCCCCCCCTCCACACACACACACACACACACACTCTCATTCCATGTTCACAGTGACACTATTTTATTCCATACCAAACTGTGGTTAAGACATGCACGTGGTTTTCAAATAAGGGCGGCGTTAACTTTTAAGCAATTTTGTCAATGCACAAACTTGTGGTTTGCAAAAATTCATTCCACGAATCACCTTGGCAACTTCTTATTTACAATTTTGAATTTGAACCTCAACAGAGAAAGAAACTGACACATTCTGTATTAATAATAATTTTATTTTCAAAAAATGGTTACAAAATCCCTCTTCAGTAACATCCTTGATAAGATACACAATGAAACCACGTGGAATGCTGTGGTACAAATGACAGTAAACAATGAATCAAATGTAAGACAAAATACTAGTAGTATACATGTGCTAGCAGGTATAAAGTTCAGGGCAAAACACTTTGGAGTTTCGGAGGTCACTGGAAACTCACATCTCTATAATCAGCAATATTACTGTCTGTCATTTCTAAGACCTCTGAAACCCAGGGTGTGCTTTGACCCCGGTTTCACAAAAAAACTTAAGTCAGGTTCCCTGGCTAAGAACTTAATTACCAAGGTTACATAATCACATCTTTCCCTATCAGGAGCAGTGTAACAGCACTGTCATGGAAATCCTAGTCAACTAAGCCAGGGAACTGACTTACGTTTTTGTGAAACTGGGGCCTGGTTTAAAACTTAAGCTGTAAATATGCTTGGTTATACTAAATGAAACTATACTAGCTGTCAAGTTGACAAAATATTGTTTTTTTTTTGTCTGGAAAATAAAAAGCAAACAACTGTCTTGAAATTGCTTTGCTTCAAATCCATACTTATATTTAAAATCTGCTGAATGACAGAAAATCTTTATTCACTGTTTTTCCTGTTGTACTTCTTATCCACATTAGAGGCAAAAAATTAGAAACTTGAGTGCCAATAATCCACTCTTCCTAGTCCACTGTTCGAAATTAAATATTTGTCCAGCAATAATATTAAACAGGTACAATGTAATACTGATAATAAATTCTTCTTTAGGATGAAAAAAAATCTTTTTTTATCTTATGTGCTATGAAAATGCACTGTAAATATATACATATATCAAATTCTATTATCAATATTGGTAGACCCTTCGGGATTTCTCAAGGGGAGGGGCAAATTCTGACTCAGTTTGTTTTCACATGGTGAAAACATTTTAGAGAGAGAGATGCATCATATCCCCCTCTCCCCTCCCCCTTAGCTACCTAAATTAAGTAAAAATAACTGCTTTCAAATTGTTGCAAGAGCAAAATATATAGCTTTAAAAGATTCCTTGTTCATGTACATAAATGTGTAAATAATTTGTGACTAATAATAATTTATCTCAATATGAAATATTATCAACTATCCACTATCATACAAAGTACTGCATGATGCAACTCCATATCAAAATATGTCACCCATCAAGGAAACAATTTCTCAGCACAGTCAAAATGCATCAATTGGTTTGCTTCCCAAACTAAAATCTGTGACATTTAAATGTGGTATTGTTGTTCTAAAAATCCTCTTTGATTTATTGAAATGACCCCTACTAAGACTGCAAGGAGATATTTGTATCTATGTTTTAAACTTAGTTGTGTGTTAGGTGATACAATTATTATGCATTTATATATTTATAATAAATCTTGTATTGTTGCTTTTTTCTCTCAAAGATGTTTTTAAAAAACTGGATTTAAACTGTCATTTTCAATTTTGCTGAAGGTCAAACATGGACAAAACCCATAGATATAAAAAATAGCCCTAAATGAGCCCTGAAACACTTATCTAGTACGTATATATATATAAGCTACCTACACACATACATTATTCTATTATTTTGTTCAGAATATCAGCTTCTAGCAGTTGTTATACATCAAAAAATTGCATGGATATGAAATATTCCCAAATATTTACACATGAGCCTTGACAACAATAAGTATGAAGAATGAATGACTATTCGCACTCAGTATTACAAAGTCAGCAAAACCTAGGGGACACCTCCCATTAATTTTACCCTATATCATTTTAATTAAGTCTCTTTTCACATAGTGCAGTACATTTGTCTCTATCACATTGTTTTAAAGAATTTGTCCAATCCGTGCTCAAGATGGTCACTTATGCTGACAATTTACGATCAGTCCAAACACTGTGTAGCAAACCTGCATAAGGGAGCAGCACTCCCTCTCCCCTTTGGGACCATTCCCACAGATATTTGGATTGATCTATCTCCCTGGGGAGACTGACTAAATTGCTATCAAACTAACTGGCTTAAACATCTGTAAAACCTAGTAAAACTGTTAGGGGGTAATTATATTTAACCTTAGCTGATTTGGTGGCTTGACAGACATTTAAGCCTCCAGAGTTGATAGCAATTTAGCGTAAACCCAAAGGGAGTTAGATCGATCCAGATGGATCGATCTAAGTATGGGAACCTAGTCTTAGTGTAATTAGAACCTGTCAAATGTTACAATAAAGACAAGCATACTGCACAATGTACATTATGTAAGTTTGGGTCACACAACTAAAATAAATAGATATGAGCCCATTTCAGGTTATTTTACATTTGAGCAAATAACTAATGATCTTCAGAGAAGCTGAATATAAATTAGCTGCATATAATTGAATAAAAATCCTTTTCTCTTTCTCTGTCCAAAGTATCTGTAGTCTTAAGTGAAAATATTGTATGCAAACATGCAAGCATGTACAGTTTCATGATCTATCATTATGCCATGACAAAATGGAGGATCCTCCTTGCATTCAGCAGTGGACAGATTTTCAATTAATTCTTCCATTTCATGAACTATCATGATGTCCATGACAAAATGGAGGATGCTGCATGAACCCAGCAGTGTAAAGATGTATAATCCTTCAGTTTCATGAACTATCATGATGTCCATGGAAAATTGGAGGATGCTGAATGAACCCAGTAGTTGAAAGATTTACAATTCTTCAGTTTCATGAACTATCATGATGTCCATGACCAAATGGCAGATGCTGCTAAGCAACTAACTAATAGAAGCCAAAGGGTTGCAGCACTGGTGGCTTGGTTAATGTTTACAGCACCATTGCATAGGTCAGCCGTACATGTACATATGGTGCCTTTGATATCCTCCACGGTCGCAAATAACTGAAAACTGGTCATTAACAGCTTTGTTCGCTGGCTGGTGTCATTCTTCATTAAAATGTGACACTTCTGAGATGTGGTTGTGGACGATGATCCGTCACTCTTTTCTTCTGTTTCAGAGGCACAGTCACGCACCAAGGTGTCTACTATTACTTTCTCTTGATCCTGAACCGAGAGAAAAAATTTCATGAATATACATTACTTCTGACCGAAATTACATTTTTCATGGGAACACATCCCCTCTTCCCTATAGTATCAACTAATTGTTAAGTGATAATGCATTGACAAGAAAATGCCCCTTTTCTTAACAAAATCAAGCTGGATGATAATAAATATCTGGGTCATGCACGAGAGCCTACGAAATCTCTATTCCAAACACTGCAATTAACTGGCTGTGGAATAGGTGGACAACATAAGAGGGGATTGTACTGTAATTGAGTGAGCACCAGCTCTACACTTAATGACAACAAGCTTGATGTTGGGCAAATAAAATTAGACAAAGATCTTCAGTTAGCGATTTTCTTACTTGTGTTTATGACGGTCTGAGAGCACAACTGTTTTTGCCAATGCAAGTGTATAGTATTTGTAGTGAAAGCTTAAATAACTTCATGATGAAAAAATCTGAACAGAGCACAACTTCAATCTATGGTATTTATTCATAAACTTCAAATGCTTCAAAAACTTCATTTTCATTATTTATCATTTTTATTCCAAAAAAAATTTATTTCCTGATAAAATCTCTGCTCATTATTTACAAAATATATATATATTCTTTTATAAGTGCAACAACTGATATATTGTATTGCACATATATAAAAATTTCACTATTCTTCAAATGCATTAAGCTGATAATGCAAAGAAGCTTGATAAGTAAACAAAACCTTTTACTCACATAAGTACTCATACGCAGACTGACTGTTGCTTGGGTCTTGTAGCAGCCAAATGGGCAGTGTTCTGTATTCCGCGACTTTCCGTCTTGACAGTCTGCATCTACTCGAAGCAGGCGACCCAGGGTCTGGTCAACAAATTCACTGTTAGTGGGCGAGTAATATCTCGATGACTTGCACTTGTAGCACTCAGGGGTTACAGCAGCTGTTAAAGAATATAATTAACTACTTTTGTTTCTTTTTGTATTTTAATGATTAAAATAGAATGCTCAGGCCCCATTCAGAATAGGGGACTAACTAGTCGGAGGGTGAAATATGGCCAACCCACTTGAATACTTCCTCACAGGATATCTATTCAGTGTCTACTACCGGTTTAGACGGCAAGCTTTGTAGTGGGTTGCTAGATTTGACCCTCATACTAGCTAGCAACCTATTCTGCATGGGGCCTCAGACTGCAAGGGTGATTTCACAAAATTGACTCTTTGAGACATGTCACTGACAAACACATTTGTGTAATATTTGCATAACAGTTTTATACCACTTTCAATTACTGTTTATTTCTCTCCACTATAGTATAATATAAAATAATAGCAAACAAAATGGGACAAGACAGAATTGTGCAAATATTACACAAAATGTGCGCGCCACTAAAATACATGAGACTCAGAGAGTAATTTTTTGTGAAATAACCTACATTAAAATTTAATTGTACTATGCTCACTCTGGTCTAATTAGTTCTAGCCAAATGCTTAATTCTCAATGCCTTTTACCATGGAGCTTACATATTAATCTTCCTATTGTAGTGGTATATTTTGAGAGAATGACAACTTAGGTGCCCTGCTATTATCTAGAGAATCAACTAAATTTTCGTCTTATTATTCTGACCAAATTTTCTTGTAAAATTCTTGTGAAATGGACCCTGGAGTCACAGAAGATGGTGCACCTAAATATCACTATAGCATGACAACAATACACTTTGAGCGTATTCCCAGACATTTAGATCGATCTATCCCCCGTGGGGAGTCTCACTAGATTACTGTCAGATAATCCAGCTTAAATGTCCGTCCCGCCTACTACAAGCTGTAAGGGGGTAATTAACTTTCGTGCCCGCTCGGCTGACAGCTATTTAGCGTGAACCCCCAGGGACTTAGGTCAATCTAGTTTGGATCGATCTAATCTCTGGGAATCGGGTCTTAGTCTGTATTTTTCCAAACATATTTGATTTACTAGATAGATAGCACAGCATGGCATCTGAAATGGACACTCACTGTACGCCAAAACTCAGTTTGTGCCTACAAAGCTAAACTCATCTTGTACCACAAAGATGATTAATAACCAAATCAGAATAGTAATTAAATAACCATTAAATTTTAGACAAAAAATAATTTGAACACCCTTTAATGAATATTTTACAAGCCTAACTGGGCTTAGTAGGGTTACTTGACAAAAGTCACAGACCTGTATTTGTGCTTCATTCAGGATGACTAGGCAACAATAGCTATCAAAACACATACCATGATGTTATGATAAGAAAAGGACAGGTCAATTCAGGTTTCCCTTTCAACTCTTCTCTTAGTGCCAATAAAGAAAAATCCTCATCACCCAGTGATCAAGGTATTTTCGATTTTCCAAATATTCTCTCTGTCATTTTGATAGGATATCTGCACTGACTACATGCCACTCTTTATCTGTGGCCACTTTTTGGCCATTCAAAAATTTCCCCTTGTCTCAGACTACTGATAGGGCGTATTCCCAGAGCTTTTAGATCGATCTATCCCCTGGGGAGTCTCACTAGATTACTGTCAGATAATCCGGCTTAAATGTCCGTCCTGCCTACTACAAGCTGTAAGGGGGTAATTAACTTTCGTGCCCGCTTGGCTGACAGCTATTTAGCGTGAACCGCCAGGGATTTAGGTCGATCTAAAGTAGATCGATCTAATCTCTGGGAATGGGGTCATAGTGACTAGAAAATCTCTGCCCAACACTTACTTCAGCAAACCTATAATATTCAGAGCAATCCCCCTCCCCACCCCCAATAATATTTTTAACCCAGGGCGCCTAAGATAGAAATATTGTCCAGTGCTGTCAAACACTAAGTATATTGATTCTCCTTCTTATGAAGTTGTAGGGACTACTTCACATAAGAACTGTATGTAGTCCAAATTTGGTCAAAGCTACGGATGCTAAAATGTTAGAGAGACGAGTCACATTTCACAGAAAATCTTAAAGGCCAGTTACCCTTTTTTTTTTTGTTCAAAAATAAAAACATACCTTTAAACAAACTATTACTACCTTGACAAAAACTTTTTTAGGTGAATCAACTACATTCGTTTATATATATCTCATAGTTAATTTAGCACAGTAAGATGTGTTTAACAGATAGTCTTTATAATAAGCCCAAATAGTTACGACATTTTGTGCAACAGACAACTCAGTGTAAATGGAGCCTTTGTGTTACATAACAGTCCAGTTCCGACCTTTTGAAGTTCCAGGTATGAAAACTGCCATTGTTGTTGGCAGGTGGGAGATGACCACAACACATTAATTATGTCACTGAGACGGGCATTTTTGCAGAGCCACATCCATCAGATATGTGACAATGTGACCCTGAACTTACTCTTGCCTTATGCTAATTTTTCTTTCTTTCTTTCTCCAAATGCTAAATTCTTTCTCCGATTTGGTAAAAGTAAATGCAAAACACCTTATGTTTTTCAAAAAAATTCTCCCCAACTCAGTTCTAATTTTCGATTTTGCTGAATTTGTTTAGTCAAAATAAGTCCTACCAAACTTGCACAACTGCAGAATCACACTTGAGCCTCTGACAAACACGTATTTCTATACTCATCCCTGTGGTGATTTATTTTGACCGAGGTAATGCAAAGTAATGTCACTGTTTTTTTCTGCTTATCTATAATGGACTTAACAAAAATAACTGACTTGGCTACAAGAATAAATTGCTAAAAGACCCATTTGTACCCATATGGCACACGAACTCACGAACACAGCAAAACATCAATATCACTTGGCCAAATCATAGAAGTACTTCTGTGGAGATATATATATATATATATATATATATATATATATATATATAAACAGCCCACTTTTATAAAATCAAAAGAACACTGGGTCACACTCAGGAACCTGAAGAATGATAAGATCCAAGATGTCTGCTGAAGATGCGGAATACCAGGTGCCTTAATCTGACAATGTTCACTAATCTCAGGTTACAGAATAGGTTTTATAGGTAATACACAGCTGCATGTGAAAGGTGCAAGTGTGAATTGGTTGAATTACAGACACATCTTAGCTTGATCATCCTAAACATATTCTATTTTAATAATTTATTTTTTATTAATTTATTATTATTATTATTATTATTTTATTTTATTATTTTATTTATTATCATATTTTATTTTATTATTTTATTTATTATCATTATTTTTTTTGTGACAGTGACATTATTTTCATGCAAAATGAACTTAGTGAAAAATAAATTATACTTCTAATCTTTTTTCAGTAGCACTAAAAATTTGTCAGTGATTATCCATAAGATGTACAACTGGCTTTAAAACCATATTATAGGTCCTATAAATAAAACTGTGATCAAGTAACTACTTCTGCCCCTTGCCATTTTGACAGATTCCATCTCTTTTCAGGGTTAGAAGTTCTACAGTTTCTATGTATAGCAGCAGTAAATCATTAAAGAAGTTTAGCAGCTGTGGTTTTCACAAGGCAATACCCAGTTGGCCAATTTCACATCTGTACTAGTAGTTTTAGTCTAAAAAGGCTAAAAGGTTTACAGTGAAGATAAGCCAGCCCTTCTTAGTGTTATCCTTCTCTGCGTGTGGGCCACAACGACTTGTCTGACCAAAAACTTACAAATAGAAGGCAAACGTGTTCTCTTTGACTGCATTTAGATTCATTAATCGTACTAGCTGGGTCGGTCGAGCTCGGGAGATTCTTGCTAAAATGCAATCAGCTTCGTTGTCTGGGATAATAAACTAATGTGTGCTGATTAAGCCAATTCCACTGATTGCACTTTAGCAAAAAAATACCCGCAAAGTTTACAATATTTGGACTCTTTTATCTCAATACTTCAGTGTCTCGAAAAATACTCATGAACGTATATATGGAAGAGAAAAAGCCGCCTATACCTTTAGCAGTTGTAATTTCTTTTTGTTTCTCTAGAGGCTGTGAATGGCACTAATAGTAATATCCTGCTGGCGAAGTTGTCATCAACTCTCAGTAGACTAATGGGAAGGAATAAGCCACCTGTTTGCTAATATGTTGAGGTTGCGTCCAACATCATTTTAACAAACCTGTATTTCGACTGATTCGAAGAAGTGGACATTTTCATCACAGTCATACATGGGAGTTGTACATCAGCCCTGTTTGCTGAATGTATTACATGCTGAACTCATGAATTTCTATACGTGACTGGAGCAAACATTCACACCATAATAATCCTTGAAATAATGGTTCAAAACATTTTTGGTTGAAACTGTGCTGCCAGCAGCCAAACAGCATCGTTCAGTAACCCACAGCATATTTTTCTGCTACTTCAGAATAATACTAAATATAGATAATACTTACTTGTGCACTGCAAGGGCAGTGAACTAAACTAAGATCTTTTTGATATAAGTTAAGAATGGAGATAATAAGAGTTTGCCTATACTAGTAATACCAATGGCACCTGAGTGCGAATGCAAAAGCTGATATATACTCAGTTTCAAGCTTTGATTCTAAGCAGATAGAGCTGTTGGTTAATTTTCTTACAAAAATTCTAAATTTAACCCTGCCCTTCCCCCCCCCCTCCCCCCGCCTCCCCTCAATAAAATATGAAATAAAATCTTCAACTACCCATAGACATCACACTAAATCCTGAAATTAACCCACTTTTATTAGGCTACATATATAAATGTCTTCTGTCAAAATAAATTTCACTTTAAAATTAAGTGCTTGAACATCTGTAGCAAACAGATTCGAGAAACAAAGGTTTTTAAACTTTAACTGCTGTTTAAAAGATTTCCTACTGTGTGTTTTGCTGCCGGCAAAATATCTACTACACTTTTCACACTGAGCAGTATATTTAAGCGATACCTACAGTCAGTGTATCAGTACACTTTTTGAGACATTGACAATCTAACAAACTCGCTGTTATGTTAGCAATTCACTAGAACTCGAATTTCAATTTGTAACTAATTATTTTCACAAGTTTGAAGAGTCTCTGAGGCAGGTGACATTTTTTCAAGGTCCCAATATTTTAATGCAAAATATAAAAGAATTTTCATTTAGTAAATTACTAGTCTATATTTAACATCTGCCCTTAATTGAAAGTTTACTTGTCATTCAGATATTCTGATAATAACATGACAAACTGGACAGAGGCACCCAGACATGACCTTCATCATGGTGCGCTTAAACAATGGTCATTACTTGAACATATATATATTGGCCAATGTTGAAATCCCAAATGATTAATACTTATCATCAGCCCTTTGGTCATTATTGACAAACACATTTAATATGTCCCTGAGCAGAAAACAGGTTGTCATTATATCAATTGCGTGGAGAATGTAATAACCAGTTTTCATTATGTTTCGCAAATGGTAAAAGGGCTCTACAATATGGGTGCATTCACAAAGAGAACTAACTTAAACCATACTAAAAAGCACTGTTTAACATCAATGTATATGTTTATACATTTAGTTTAACATGAGATGCAACAGTCTGAGAAAATATGGGCTCCCCCTCAAATCTGGTCGTTTAGTGACGTCACAAACCCCAGACCAGTCAATTTTAAGTCAAAATAAGCCCTAAGTGAGACCAGATCCAAATGCACAATTCGTGTACAGCTATCGATATATAAATTACGGCTCGTAGAGCCGAAATCTTTCCTTTTTAAAACACTTCTAGAAGTATAAATTTCAGTATCAATCAGAGCAACAGGAAGGAATGGAAAGTTACCCACCTGTAATTTGGTATTATAAAATTTCGTAATTACAAACCTGGTTCAAACATCGAACTTTAATTATTTAAAAGCATCATTCTTTTTGGTCTTTTTGGTCACTTAAAATGCTATGGCGCGGTATCAAAATTTAGAGCGAGCTACGTGCATATGTAAACTACAAGTGCTTGGTGTGGGTGACCTAAATAACAGCCCATGTTTAAAATATAAACCCTAACTTGTGACAAACTTTACTAACAAGGTTCTTCCCTACCTATTAAAACGACCAGAATAAGAACCAGCAGCTCCAATATTGTCGGTATCATCTTCCAACTGCTCTTGGCGTTAAACCGTGAAGATCTTTTGCTAATTGGCAACTTTTCCGGTATGTTGAAATCGCTGAAAGTTACAACTCACACGCGGATGTTTCTCGCCTCCGCGAGTGTACCGATTAGCATATTTGAGCGAGCTGTATTTTTACTGAGGTAGGTCGCCCTGAACTGAAGGGTCAAAGGTCAGCCTCGTCACTGGAGGCGCAAGTATAACAAGTGGGTGACTGTACTGTTCAGTTTCTTCAACAAAAGGCGGCGTATTTGCTTTTAAATAATGGAAATTTGCTCAGTCAATAACCGCGGGGCCGTAACAAAGAATTGAATAGTGCACTGGAATTTAAAATAGGGTGTTTATCCGTTGATTACACCACGGATATATTGTTTGTTGTTTTAGTTTAAGAGGAACAAATTGTAAAAAAGGCGAGACTATATATAATGGGTAGGAAGGAAAAAGAAAGCCCCGGGATGAAAAGAGTTTCTTTATTGATGGGTTCTTGGAACGCGGGCCCGTTATACACTGAACTATATCTATCTGTGGACCTCCCTCTACCAGTAAATCATAGACAAACAAAAGATCACAAAAGGGGCCTAATATCGGGCTGCTATATTAAAATCGTATTTTTGCTCACCATCTAATCGACTGTCTCTTTCAGATTTTACTGGATTTACCGCTTCCAATTATGTTGAAAAACGACACATGTTGTTACAGGTTGGTTGCAAGCTGAATCTTGAAACTCCTGGTGATTCGATCGTAGGAAAGACAAAATATATGATTCCAGATTTCAATATCCTTCACGTACGTAAGACAAAATAACAAAATGATGACAATTTTAAAAATGCGAAAAAACACCCAAGCCTGTGTTAATCTGCGAATCTGATTGCATTCAGCGAGAGCCCCCGCAGAGTTGGATCGAACTACGGAGACCGATAGTTTCAATGGGAATGAGCCCTAGGATTCGCGCAGACGATTTGAAAAAATCATAGAAGTAGAGAAAATAATCGAGGGGAGCAGTAGGCCTACCTCTTTTGCACCGAATTGAGAAATTGTCAACTGGGTAAATTACGTAAAAGAGTCGCCTGAACGGAGGTTGCACTGGACACGGCCAGTCAGCCTGATTCGATTCGCGAAACACTAAGGCCGCATTCACATCGAGTTGAGCCCGACAAAAAAAGGGGGTTCTTGGAACGCCCCGAACCCCCTTGGCTACGAGCCTGCTATAGGGGCCTACCCCTCCATGGGAAAAGGGCCAGAGTCAACTCGGCCAATATACTTGCATACAGAGAGGACAGAAGATAAAAATGATATGGATAAAAAAGAAAATAAAATGAGCAGATAGGCCTAACAAATCAAAGCATGTCAACTATACTTTCACTGCGGATGGATAGACCGCTTTATCTGGAATATGAAATGTTGATAAAAAGCTTATTGCAATAAATGGGAATTTATAACATGCATTTATTCAAATCAATCGCTAGTGTTGGTGTATATTTCAGTCCTGGAGTCGTCATACTTTGGCCTTCCTTCCTTTTTTCTTTTGAAACATCCGATACTTATTCAGGGACTGGTAATTAAGTTGGAGAGGGATGGGGCTGGGGGTAAAATTCCTGTGCCCCCCCCCCCCCAAAAAAAAAAAAAAAAAAAAAAAAAAAAAAAAAAAAAAAAAAAAAAAAAAAAACAAACAAACAAAAAAATACAACAAAACAAGAAATCCGAGACCAACCCTGATAGCACTCACCCCCCTTCCAGATTGATTTAAAAAAGACTGATCTTAGGCAAAAGAGGCGAAAATAAAAACAAAAACAAAAGAGTCAGAGGAAGACAGTTTGTGAGCTCTTGACTGGCAAGAAGATGGACTTGGACTATACAACAATTATAAACAGTAAAGCAATGCATACAAAACCGAGGAAACAATTTCCATTATATCCTCTTGAAGACCTTGTTCAACAAGGATATGTTAGTGAACGTGTAGGCCTACTTCCTGAAGTTAAGAGGCTATTCAGAAGTTAGAAGTACCACTTTATGTGACTGCAGTGTCAAATAAATCCGCAAAGGACAAACAGGTGACATTGTCTGCTTTTCTTTCGAAATGTGAGAAGGCACAAAGAGCAGAAACTGATGAGAGTTCTTTTAGGCAATCAAGCCACGATTCGGAGAGTTACCATGACTTAATAAAAGTGATAAGCATTGACACCGTTTGTTAAAAATTATTCACACGCCCGCTGTGTCCCTCCCCCCACGCCACATCATACACTGTATCTACACAGAGTGTTGCACTTCCTCAAAGAAAATTAATTTCTAAAAGTGTAGACGTATAAAGTACTTTCGAGATCGGAAATCAATTGAGGAACGGTCAGTAGCACTGGAACAAGGCACAGGGTGCCAGAAAGATTCGTTAATTGAATTCTGTATGCCAAATTTACGCATTAAGGAAACCCAAATACTCACATACGCCGTATAAAGAAAAAAAAAAAGGAAAATGACGAATTTGGTTATTTGCCAAAAAGTGTATCGAAAATGCAAATGCAAACGGATACATGTTACAATGTCCCATCCATGATTTCCTCGTCAAATTGGACCCGGTGTGCCAGGAATGGAAGTCTGCTAGGAACCGTAGTCCGGTTTCCATTGCTTTGTACAGGTGACATTCATCACATATACTAATCCCAATACTCCAACTAACCCTAACCTGTACTTATAATATAGGACCCCGGACTACCATTCCTGTCACACCGGTCTTGGACTTGAATTTCTTGTTTTATATAATTTATGATTGACTGATTTAGTTTTAAATGACTGTCCTGTGAAGCCATGCTTTTCTGGTCATTTCAGAAGAAACCATCGATATCAGTACATTTTAACTGAGGGGTTTTATTGTTTTGAAGGTTTTTGTGGGATATGTTGACGCAGAAAAGCAATCCCTCTGGCAGGGTCATCTAGATGGTGCCATTTGGTACTGCCTGAATAAAACAGAGGGGAATGCTCTGTTTTGTTTTGTTTTGTTTTGTTTGAAATACTCCATAACGAGATTGTGTTTGCGAAGCTCGCTCGTTTCTACATCTACATCTAGTAATGCATTTTGTTCTATCATTTAAAGGCATATCGATATCCATATTTCTAATGCGTTTCATCTCTCTCTCTCTCTCTCTCTTTCTCTCTCTCTCTCATATATTTTGCTACCACTTTTCATCACTGAATGCTTAGATGCGTGATATCGAGTTGCAATATGTTTTTACATTTGGATATGTCTTTGAGGATATACATGTATTCTACACGGATGTCGATGGAAATATAGATTCAAGAAATGGAACTCATTTTAAAACGAAAAATTGGTTTATTTTAATATTTTAATGAAAATATAAATAGCCGTTTATACTTTAGGAAGTCCATGTATTGATTCGTCTTAGTTTGCTAATAAGAGACTATTTACATTAAATATTTACATTTACACAAAGAATATTTACATTTAAATATTTACATTTACAAAAAAGAATATTTACATTTAAAAAGATGCCCCAAAATATACGTCAAACGAATGGACTTGAAGGCGGTGGAACTGTAAAAATCACAATTAATTAATGAAGTGTAATAAGACATTGCTGTTTTCTTTATTTTGATAAAAAAAATGCTAAGAAATCACTGACCACACACATAGCAGTGACGCTTTTCAAGAGCCTTCCAGACCATGGTTGATGTTTTGGCTTGAAATCTTAAAGACCCACCACAACTAGACCCCTGATTTTAAGAGTCTGTACACATATTTCGCAACACAAGAGCACATCATGTCCCCTCTGATATCACAGAGGTCTCTATTATAACATAAAAAATTAAAGAAGAGCAGATCCTGTAGTTTTGTAAGAGACTACTAGCGACGTCTGTGGTCAGGGGGTGCTCATCATGCTCTCCTGAGTAATTCATTGTCCTCGATGTTCTCTTATTTCTCTGGTTGCGGCAGTGGGTGTACTCTATTGCGTCTGCGTCCACCAAAACAAGATGAAGATCTGATGGCATTCAAAAAACCATTCCACCATCTTCTCAGTCTAGAAGGGACTTTGGTTTCTTCGAACACGTCCCGTTGAATGGGGTATTTCTGAAGGAAAGTAACTGACACGTTATATGACCATTATAAAATATTTAAAAATCATAAACAACGAAGCTCGCTCTTTTTAATTTCAAAATAGAAAAGCAATACTACATACCTTTTGGTTTTCCTCACATTCTTGTTCGCACTTAAGCTCAAACAGAATCCTCTCTTTAGCAGAAGCATCATCCTCAACTCTGATTTTGGGGTTTTTCAAATTTTCCTTAACGCAATAAATAATTATGATGATGATGATTATTATTATAGAATTGCTAGAAATATCAAATAAAAAGTAGTTATTGCTCTATTTTTTACCCTTGCTTTGACAATGTAAAAGACGGTATGATTGCAGCAGTGAAATTGGCCGGACAAAATATATGCAAAATAATTTTTTTGATAAACTATTAACATACATTAGTTAACCTTATGAAAGAGCTAAACGACTTTCGTAAAGAACAATTCCCCCTACTCACAATAAAGAGGCGTATATAAATTTCTTACTTGAACGAGTTTTTCCTTGCGTTCTCGGGCCTTCTTTTTCTCCAGTTCCATTTGTTCTTTCTTGTATTTGATTTCTTCTAGGCGCTTTGCAATTCTCTCTCGTTTTTCTTCATCTTTCCTCTTTTTCCTTTCCTGTTCTGTTATATCTAACTCGAGTTTAGTTTGCAAAGCCTGAAAATGTAACATAAAATATATTATATCCAATCCGATATCGTACATCGACACAAAGCCAAAGTCTATCCCATCCCTTTCCCCTCTCCGTTTTTTAAAAACCCTGATCAGTCAGTCATCCGCTACTCAACGATTATCAAAAGAGGTAGCGAATGCCAAATAAATAATCAACCGAACCACACAAAACTATCTTCAGAATAAATCAGAGTTGCATCGAAGAGTAGGAAATTGCTGGGAAAACTGAAACACATGCCCGATTTCTAACGAATAACTTACCTTTTCTAACCTAGCTCCCGTGGAGGGGGTTCTTCCTCTAATCTGTTCGTTTCTCAGATTTGTTGCTGCTGTTTGTCTGATATCCAGTTCAAAGGCCAACTCTTCAGGGTCTCTTTGTCTGGTTTGTGAAACCAGTCTACGGGAGAGACGCCTAGGAATTGTCGC